AAAAGCTTTTCCTACTGTAATGATAAAGTCTTATAACATATAGTTAGAACATTTAGCTTTGAGTTCTCCTACAATTTAGATTTGCATAGTGATTATGTTCCAATCACAAATTGTAGCCTGGGCGTTGCATCGGAGAACTCAAGTTACAATAATTGCTCTATAATTAGGCCTACAACTGTCCTAGGTGTATAATACAGGGCGGGGAATATCACGTCTCAAGGCCTTGGATCTATGTTGATAACTAGTGTAGTATTGACCTAAAACCAGCCGTGATCTTTTAAAAGTTACGCCCTCAGTACTTGCAATGTGGTGTTCGATATCACTTTCAGGAAACAAATAAGTGAATGTATAAAATTAGTGACTGAATATCGTCACATCTTTTTTAGAAGCCAATTAAATAATTGCAGAAACACGCTGCTGTATTTGAGAAATATTCTTGATTCTGAAACCGTTAGCTATCTTCATAACCAAATGAAATTGTGTGCTTCAAAGTTTACTTTGATGGATTATAATTTCTCATACGACGCTTAGAAAATTACAAAACAGAAACTTGTACATCACAAGAGTTGTGAATGCAAAATAGTGAGCAATGTGTTAATGTTCATATTGAGTTGACCATTAACAAAGAATTTAATTTTGGATTTTCATTGTTTTATAATGTAACGATTTTATAAAAAAAGTCAATTGTATGTATTAATTGAAGCAGTTACTAATGTAAACGATTAGTTCTAGTTTTCTTAACCAATGGGAATGTTTAATCGTATACATAAATAAATTACTGTATAATGCGTATAGGGATCAATTGTGGGCATTAACAAATTTTAATTATATTATTGCAGTAGTTTTTCCAAAATCGCTACCCTAGAAACACTATTTTTACGCTTATTTTGAGTTTAGTTAAAACATTTTGGATAGCTGATACAAGATGATTTCCACGAAATACAGTATGGATATGGTATTAAATCGATCCCAACAAGCAAGCCATGCTTTGACAAGAATAACAATGAAATTCAACCTCGACATCTCAACATCGTTAGTAAATCACCAGCGGCATTCAGATTTTGTAATGTCACTATCTACTGTCTCAACTCAGTTAACATTTCTGTCAATACCGTGTGAAAACTAATACCATCTGTGGAACTCGTGGTTGCATAGCAACAGTGCAACAATGGAACAGCTGATCCATTAGTAAATATTTTATAATTGCTCATGTACTATTTGAAACTCTTGCCTTTGTACACGGATGCATCAAATGACGCTATTCGGTCGTACAGAATTTGTCTCAATAAAACCTAGTTTCCCGCGGATTTTCATGCACCTCGGTGAATGAGAACCATATTTCCCCGGTGTATAATTTCTCCTAACCCGCTTTATGTTATTTCCCCGGAGGCGAGATAAGTTGGTTTTCTAAAAATACATTGGTGCGGAAAGGGTTACACGTTTCAAAACTAAGATTTTTCTGCTGGATGTCCTGGGTGGTGGGTTTATATAAAAAATAGGGTGATTAATACTATACAAATATCCTTTAAAAACGTTTTACCTTTTTACCACCTTTAGCAATTTTGTACAGAACGATCTAGTCACCATATAAAGTTGATATTTAGTTTGATAGTATTTATTAATTGTCTTCAATCACATTTACCCGTGCAATATAAATCCACCAACAATAATGTTAATAATGTTAACAAACTTATAAAAACTAGTGTACATGTTGCTCGAAATCGAGCAATTGCAAAGAAGTACAGGAGTTAAACAAATGACTTGTTTAAAAACTAATAAGATAACATAATTTCCGATTATTTTAAAAGGTCGACTAAAAGATAATCGCTAATATTAACTAATTGAAATACTCACAATTTACATAACAGTCCCAATCCAGTTTAAAGGGTTAATTTTTAACTATCAAACTGCCCATGGACGGGAAATGGTAAGCTTACAATTTAAGTCAACATAAAAAGGCTGTCAGCTTTTATAATGTACCGTACCTAAGTTATTTAGCCAATTTGTAGACAATAAGGTGTAGGCTACTTTAAACTCTACTGAACAGAGTTAGGCAAAAACTGGCAGAACTCTGAAATGAACATCCAAAACTATACCCATTTTTAATACAACATTAGATAATTTGCACATTGACTGTTTACAATTAACACATGTTCTTCTTCTCACTTTTAATTTTTGGTTCGCAACGGCAAAAATCTGTTTCATATAATCATTGAAATAGATTTATAATAAATAATCCATCATAAAATGTAAGATTAAATAAACCTACTACATAGTTGTTTTATTTTTTTGGATCAGCTGTCTGAAATTGTGAAATAGGCATTTGACAGTTCTGGTTGTTTACATTTAAATGTCAAAGCAAATGTAAACATAGTGAATTTTCTTATGCTTCCATGGAGACCGATTTTTTATATTTAATTTCTGACACAGCTGAAGTTTCAAAACGATGTTTGTTTCCCATGTTAAACTTGTGGAGAAATACAAAACTTTAAAGGGCCCCAGGGCCTCACTCTCTAATTATTTCCCTAAAAAGAAAGTTTCCTGCACAACTTCACGTTACGCTCATTCCAATTACACAACGTGTCAATCGGTTCAGTAGTTTCAGAGGAGTAATTGTCACAAAAATCCTGCTTGCGTATTAAATAAGTATAGATAGCTTAAACTCTAGTTGTATAACAAATACTATAATAACATTAACGTATAGTGGTTTAGTTTCCCTTGTTACCGTCCAAAACGATCCTTTGTAGTTCGTTATGACAACAGCTGTTTCGTGCTTCGGATGGAGCACATAATCAGGTCTGATAAATGTCAGTTAGTCATATAACACGAACACAACACATAACGGGAAAACACGAAACGAAACATTTAACACTGGTCGACTAGACCAGTGGCCATACCAGTGGTTAACGAAATACGTGATACGGCACCGATTGAGGGCAAGTCACGTCTCGTTGTTTTTGTGTTATGTGTCGTGTTCGTGTTATTTATATACTATTAAAATTTTTATTAAATGCACCATGAGAAATATTTAATGACTACTTGACATTCTTCAAACCTGATGATGTGCACCACCCGAAGCACCAAACAGCTGTAGTCATAACGAACTACAAAGGATCGTTTTGGACAGAAGGAAACGTAACATAAATCACTATCGGTTAATTCAGACGATCCAAAGTATACCATCATGAAATTATAATAACATTAATTTCCTATGTGAATTTTAAGTGCATAAATAAAAATCTCTAAATGTTAAAATTAACTAGATATCAACATTTCCCTGGGAAAATATCTTGTATACAGCTCTTCTATACAGCTTTACAAAAAGCAGCAACCTTAACAATTATAAAAATCAAAGTTGTAATAGATTCCTTTCACTTTCTACTGTAACTAACCAATAATTACGGTGGTGATACGTCAGCCAAAGACGTTGCCTTGGCTTGCATTTCACTGCATTGTTGCAGATTGCATTGTTTATCATAATTATCTAGCTAATATGCAATTATCGTAGCCCATACAATATAATGAACCTTTAGAGATACAATCATTGTATATCTGATGCGAAAGCATAACGGCGCAAAATTCTGCAATCGTATTACAATATGCAAATGCGTAAGTAGGTCAATTTTATCATATTATTTTCATCATAATGAGCTTATAACAATTATAAAGATAGGTCTTTTAACTCGTTTAGATTTTGAGATGCGTTACACTAAGCAACAAGTTAATGAATTGTTTTTACTGGACCACAGTCCCCTGATATAATTGACTACTTTCCACCTCCAGAAACACATAAATATGGTTTAATTTCTCTTTCCGCACCTTGGACTTTTCACGTTCAGCAAGTCTTTTGAAAATTCGCAACAGTAATCCCAATCTTCAAAAGGTAATTCAACTGACGTCAACAATTTTATGTCCATTTCAATTCTTCCTGTTCTAAGTAAAATGTTTGAAAAACACACTCTTACTAGGAACGTAATCTAAAAGAGAATAACAGAAAAACTCAATAGTTGATCAGAAACTCAATTCGGTTTTAGCTTTCAGGTCACTTAGATCTAAGACAGACGTGGTTGTAAAACTGTTAAAACTTATTCCTGAAGGTTTTGAGAGCCAGAAGCACTCCTTAGGTGTGATCCTTGGCCTGAAAACCATTCTAATGTGTGGACCAGACTTTGTTCCTGATATGTAGTCGTGTGGCGTTGTCTTGTTCAGCCTTTTAGTAAAATTTCCAACTAAAAGTCAAAACGTATTACATTGATTTGTGTGTCTCAAGAATCTTCACTCAGCCCTGTGCTGTTTTTTGCACGTGAATTATATCGTCCTATCATCATTCTCAAAAGCCGTTTAGCCGTTAACAAACTTAAATCATGCCAATGTTTAATCTACGTTTTATGTAAATAAAGGATTATATGAGAATTATAGCTTAAATACATCGACGACAAAACGTTTTTCTTTCATAGAAACGCAAATCCAGCTTTTAAAAATTAATTCATTTATCATTCAACAATCAAACCGAATATCTTTAATCAATGTCTATCTTCATCCGAGAAGCTATTATGATTTTCCTACAGTCCTAATCGGAAACAAACCACTCGGCGCGGCGAGCTATACTAGGTCCACAGAAAACGTACTACTATAACCTATATAGGTTATAGTACAGTAGTACGTTTTCTGTGACTAGGTCCCTCGGACTAGGGGTTGGCGAGGGGAAGCACGATTATGTTGACAGTGTGTGCTCAAAAACCCCTTAGGGCATATTTATCTTCAAGAGACTCACGAAATACTGCCCTCGCACAATACCATGTGGTTCATACGTCCTTTTTTATTCTCGTTTAACGTACGGAACGTATTATAAGAGCGTCGTGTGAATTATCTTAGAGACTTTTCAAGCTCCAAAAAAGTGTAGACAGAACTATGGTGACGCTAAAACAGACCTTCTTTCCATATTCGCGTCTTTAGCCTTATTGAGTAACCACGCATCAATGTATTATCATCTGTTGTAGGTGACAATGCGGTGAGTCCGTACAGTTTTGTATGGTAGTGCGCAGCTCTGTGGCTGCGTAGAGCTGACCCATGTGACCGTGGAGTGTCACGTGTGTGTGTATGGGCTCGGCCTGGGGCAAGGTGTACTAAGGGCGGCCTGTGGTACTTGCGCTGCCGCCATGGGCTGCACCCCCTCCTCCCACAAGAAGCGCAACTCCCGGGACGACCAGTCAACGCATGCGCACCAGCTGATCAACAGTTCTGGTGAGTTAAGCCATTGAAACATCACATTTCCAACAACATCGTAATTTGAAGTGCCTCCACTGCATCCAAATTATCCTACCACCCCAATTATACCTATTCGCTACACACCACTTCAGACTCCCCATCTCTCTAAATTGCCGAACCAAATTAAAAGCATGGGCACCACAACAATACAACCAACCAAAAAAAACCTCAACTTCATAAGTCCCTATTTATACCACCAAGTGTACTGACAAGTTGAACAATCATTGCACCCAGATCCTGCTTTTTAAACATGTTTAACACCTGTCATAACGACTGACAATGCATGATTGTCAGGTTTCAGTAGGTGATGTACTTACTTGGGCTGTTCTATGACGTGTTTTCCTCTTTAGCCTGAAGAGGACAATTCCTTCAGCATCCACTTAGTGGTTTATATCCTAGTTTTATCAATATCTTACAATTTTCATATAGATTTTTAGTTGTTATTGATTTTTAACAGATTTGGATTTTATTTCAGGAGGCAGTTTACGGGGTGTACGCGGTAAGCGAGGCAGCGATGGCATTATCTACCACAGGGTAAGACAAATTTCATCATTTGAATTATATAAGCTTAATGATAGTAATTAAAAAATAAAAAGCATATTAATGGAAATTAAGTAATGTAATTCTTATTGTAGTTATAAAACTACACCCGTCCATGAAAAGTTGGAAAAAATGTGATTTTTTAACTCTTATGTAATAAATAAGATGCAATGTTAAGTTTACTCAAAGAGGAAATAGTTTAAAACCCATTACAGAGTGTGCTGATATTTCAATTTGGTGGTTTACTGTATTTTTAAGTTTTAACATTAGGATAGTTCTCTGGTATACGACGAGTTGTCCTTTTAGTTTGGCATGAGTTTAGTGTAGACAAATCAAAAGTTTTTAGTGAGTACAATCATTGAATATACAGGGTGAATAAAAAGTCAAGACCCCCCCCCCCCCTCTAATATTTTTCCAAGTAAATATACAGAGATATCCTTTTGGTGGTTGAGCAATCTTAGCAGGAAGTTTCATTTTATCATTTTGAAATTTTTGAGTGTCCCCCCAAAAGAGGGTATTCGGGGGGCAACTCAAATATTTTAAATATAAACCCCCTTCAAGTGACACTTCATTATGAAGTGTTTACAAAAACTTAAAGAATGGTGAAAACTAGAGGTCGCTATCTTTTCTCTATCCAAAATGGTAGCCAATATTAACAATTTTACCATTAATTTTCCACAACATTTGACGGGCTACCATTTTAAATAGAGAAGAGATAGCGACCTCTAGTTTTCACCATTCTTTAAGTTTTTGTAAACACTTCAAAATGAGGTGTCACTTGAAGGGGGTTTACATTTAAAATATTTGAGTTGCCCCCCGAATACCCTCTTTTGGGGGGACACTCAAAAATTTCAAAATGATAAAATGAAACTTCCTGCTAAGATTGCTCGACCACCAAAAGGATATCTCTGTATATTTACTTGGAAAAATATTAGAGGGGGGGGGTCTTGACTTTTTATTCACCCTGTATAAATAAGACTATGCTCTATGATACACCCGTATACTCTGTTGGTGGTTCAATTAAACAAAAAATCAACAAAGCGATTGGATAAAACTCTAACCTGAGTTTTATTCTCCTTTAGGATTGTCTACTGCGTGTTTCTTTTTTTACAGACAATTCTAGAACCTATATCGATGTTTGAAGGGTAAACTCCAAGAAAACACACAAAATAATACCAAAACAACAATAAAAGTTAGTTCAACGACTCAAAATCAACAAAAGACTTCAAAAGAATGTCTTTAGCAACCGTTCCAATCAAAAAGCAATAAATTACAGTAGCGTGGTCCCAATTATATCTAATCTCTGGTAAACCCGTCTTTCCAAGAGAACCTTGTACAAGTCGGGAATAATTGGCAGAATTTACAATGGAAGCTTTGACATTCCGTCTGTCTGTCACCTTATTTGGTCACTAGCACTTTCTATTTTTTCGTTTTGTGTTAATTAAAGAAAATTTACTTGGAAATCGCTAAAAAAACACTTGTGGTGTATTCTTACGTAAGATTGTAGACTAAAAATATTCCAGCAATGATTTGTTATCCTTATGGATCAGCTTTGTTTCTTTTTAGATTAGTGTTTCATTATGTTTTCTATTTTCATCCACAAAAAATTGTTATTTTACTGTAACAAAATACACTAACCAATGATAAATTTATGCTTGAACTATCGCTTGTCATAGATACTAAAACTTGTAGTCTATGGTTAGATGCGTAAGTGTAAGCTATACCTAAAAAAGAGAAAAACATTTAGCCAATAATAGTACAATCAATCTGAGCCAAACATGAAATACCCATCACATATGCATCACAAATCCATTATATTTTTTTAATTAAGCTCAGTCACGATTTGTTTATTGCATATTTGTATCATAATAATTTCACATCATAAATTTCCTTGCAATATCCATGAATAATAAGAAATTAGGCAATTTTCAAAAAGAAATATTAAAAAAATTAGGTCTATTAACTAAACAATAGCCTTAATTATCGAAGTTTAAAAAAATATACTCACCCCAAGCTGATAACTTCAAACTAACGGATTAAGCAAAGCAACTGACCAACTTACAAGCACTGTAATTTCCAAGCATCTTCATGATTTTTAATAGGACATTTTAAACTGTTCGTAAACTTAATCCAAACTGTTAATAAACGGTATCAGCATTCTGACACATACTTTCTCCCATAGGTTTGTCGACAACCTTTATCATGTGTAAGCGGTGAGAGTAAATATACGGAAATGGGATTTGTACAATTTTGTTCAGAATATAAAGGACTATAACATACTAAATTTTTATCAAAATCGTTCGGGCCATTTTTGGGAAAATCCAATTTTTCTGTTAATTTATGGGGGTTTTACGGGGAAATGATATAATTTACAATAACTTTTGAACCGTAATTTTTACAGAAATTGGATTTGTACCATTTTGTTCAGAATATAAAGGACTATAACATACTCAATATTTATCAAAATCGTTCGGGCCATTTTTGGGAAAATCCTATTTTTCCATTATTTTATGGGGTTTTATGGGAAAATAACATATTTGACCAAAACTTTTGAACCATAATTTTTACAGAAATGGGATTCGTACCATTTTATTCAGAATTTAAAGGGCTACAACATACTAAATTTTTATCAAAATCGTTCGGGCCATTTTTGAGAAAATCCGATTTTTCCGGTTTTTATGGGTTTTTATGGAAAAATCCCCATTAAAAATAAAAATGAAAAAACGCCTGGAGATACCATTGATTAGAACCTACATACCAAATTTCATCGAAATCGGACCACAGGTGTAGTCTCTAGCTCTGTACACATCCAGACACACACACACACAGACATCACTTCGAAAACCACTTTTTTGGGTCCAGGGGTGCCCAAAACGAATATATCTACTCAAAACTCAAACTCGAAAATTTTGACGAAAACAATACTTTCTCCATATACTATGGTATAGGGGGAGAAAGTAAAAAAGAGCGAAATCAGCTGAAAACGAAGCTTCAGTTACAAACCTCAAGTCTATTTAATAAGTTCACACAGATAGAGATAGGCTGACGTTTTCCTGCTCTAGTTTGTGGAATGTGACCCACGGACAGGCGTGGCCTATCGTGGGTTGGTCGTACATAACAGAAACATTTCAGGGCTAAGTGACACCTCTACTGCTAAAATATAATGTAATATCCTTCCAAAATTTGACTGCTATAAAGAAATCCTATCACTATAAAATCATACAAAACGATGTTGCCGTTTAATAATTTCAGAATTCGTAATTAATTTATAGTAGTTTAAGCAACGATTGCGTGATAGTGTTAATGACACGAGTAGAAATTTGGTATGAGCATTAAAATCTTCTACAAGTGTCCTTAAGACTATTTACGTGAGTTGCGTACACTACTTTACCTACGAACGTTTATAAATTACTACTAACAATCAATCACTACTCATATTCTAAGAGAGGTTATGTTTTAGTTTATAACCTCTCATTGTCACTGGCAGTGATTCAACGACTCATTGTACCAACCACGAATTGCACCGATCATTAACAATTAAATTGGTAAACAGCTGATTAGTTGTTGTTTGAAGCATTACAATTTTACTTCTTCTCTCTCAGCCCTTGAACCTCATTGGTCCGTTACTCATATTGTAAAACAATGCTGTTAGGTGAATCTTTTCACTTCCAAGAACTCAACTGAAACGACTACCTAGTTTAAATGTCCCTACGACCGTTTTTTAAACTAGCCGTTGCAGATTAGTTCCTAGAATTGAAAAGAATCACGCTCGCAGAAGGCTTTAAGACACTCACCAAGGCTCATAAATTTCTACTCAAGTCTTTCACTCTCATTAGGCGATCGTTGCGTAAACTACTATTTGTTTTACCGTGCTACCGTTTTAACCTAATTAATCTGTATGAATTTAACTCAAACGTAAAATTAACTGGACATTAAGATACAAATTAATTGCTTGTACTCTGATGTAATAATCGAATAGCAACAACCCTAAATTACACCGTAAAAAATAAAAACACATTTAACCATCATCAACACACTCAAACGTCTCCAAACATGAAACTATCAAAATAAACTCCAGCTTTTACTGTAGAACGAGAAGCCTACTGGCATTAACCGTCAATGGCATAACTTTTCACCTCCGCCATGACCCGAGCCTGCGCTTGCTTTGTTGAAGGCTGCTTGTCCAGTTACCCAGTCAGAGTTGTAGCACTGCTTGAGAGATATACAGCCAATTACTGCCTTTGGAACAAAGCAGTCGGGTAACTCTAGCTGAAGTAATGGTCCGATCTCGTACTGGGTCGTGAGGTTGAGTTGAGTAAGACATCGATGTTTGTGAGTTTAGTACGTAACGTACTGTAGAGGATATGCGTGAAATCTGGGGTGTTGCAGCTAAGTAATATTTTTTATCTCGGGTATCCAATGTATATTTTATATTACATCGAGGGTATTTGGTCACCTAGATTTGAAACCTAATTGCAAACACCATGTTGATAAAGGTGGGTAGTTCCAGAGCCTATAGTGCTAACCTGACTAGCAAAGGTAGTTGATCCTGTGAAAAGAATCAGTAGCTTTTTTACTGTTCAAAATCACTCACTAATGTTTCGCCTGTTCCTGATCACAACCCTAATAGTACACGAGACATCTCATTAAATTCTGTATTCAAACTTGACTCATATTCAGGTTGAACTACGAATATTTCAATGTAATGTCGGCGATAGTAATAGTTTGCTTGGTAATTAAAAACTAGTAAACACGTTGCTCGAAATCGAGAAATTTCAAAGAAGTAAAGTAGTTATTTAAAAACAAATAAAAGTCATCATAATTTATGAGTTTAAAAGACTTTGAAATGAAAAATAACAGCAATTAAAATATGCAGCTGATAAAAATATAAACAATCATGATCTTCATAAGGATAACATGGGAACTTTAACAGACACTGGGGCAGAGCCCAAGGGACTTTTTCAAAAATGTAAGGTCAGTTTGCAAATCTACACGACACGCTCTTTCCAATGAGACGTCAATGGATAAAATCGGTTAAGAAATGGCGGAGGAGTTGAACCGACAAAGTTTCATGTAGCGTATTAATTATATAGATTCTTGCAATTGCACTTTGTTGGTCGAGTTACTAATTTCACTTTGAAATACTACCTCAAGCAGAAACGAACAATATATTTACAGAACATTTTTGACATCTTTAATCATTTGTATACAAATAATCTAAAAAATTACTGCTGTTACACTGGTTATTCCACGAAAAGGAACAAAAATCAGGAAGCGTGTATGATGGCGTTTCCATGTTTTTAATTAACCGCCCCAGTTCTGCCCACGACTAGTGTCACTTGTTCCACGAACACGTTGATGTACACGGTACACGGTACACGGTACACGGTACACGGTACACGGTACACGGTACACGGTACACGGTACACGGTACACGGATTGACAAACAATGTACATCACCGTGTATACAATCAATTACTGACTATCCTGGCTGTAGCTACATTGTCCATTGTCCTCTCTAGCTTGCAGATAGCAACCTTGTTTGGAAAAGCGATTTTTATAATTCTGGTGAAAAAATATGTCCTTAGACTTGCTTATTGATATTTACAGTTGTCTTTATCTTTTTTCCATAAATAATAGAGTATCAGAGTGGGTTTTGTTTCGTTTAAAAGCCTCAAACTTGAAAACACTCAATGGCTGATAGTAAGTGAATAATAGATAAAGAAGTAGCCAACCTCTTAATTCTATAATAATAAAAATAGATACGAAAACGTTATCCTTAAGAAAACGCAATGAAGGGAGAATATTCCTAAATGTACCTCCATACTCAATAAACTTAATAATATAAGTTCCTTTAGTTTGTGTTAACTATTTTTAAACGTTTTAATACATGGGTAAAAATATAATCTAGGTATCAAAATTGATGTAAATGATGTATTTGTACTTTGAAATAATGAGCAAAAATGTTTACAAATTCAATTTTGCAAAATTAAAAGTAGGTGAATTTTTTAGTAGTTTTATCCCACGAGGCAAACGTGTTTTGAGATTTTCAAGAATGTAACCAAATTTTGATGGAAAAAGCGTACAAACTAGTATTTTTTGTCCATTAAACTGACGATGGATGGGAAAGTTTGACAGTATTTAGCCTTCGATCGCAGTGTCAGTCTTCATTATTATTTAATTTTCATCAAAACATAACCGCTGATGTTTTCCGTGATCGATGGTTGAAACTGTGTTCTGACGCTGGCAGGAGCAATCATCAATATGTTTTGACAGATTTTACATTTACATCCGAGCAACTTTTCCAATTTTCAGGTCCATTTAAATTTTAAATGGATTCACCGTCTCAGTTTAATAACTTGTATAAACAAATGCAAACATTTCGTGTTTACATTTTAATTTGCATGATTTGTTGTGGTGTTTATATTTTCCTCTTGTTACACTACGGCATTTAGACAAGTGTTCTGGTGATTGACTTTGAATATTGCATGTAAACGTCCCGTCCGTAAAATTTCTGAGACGTGTTTGACATGTTTCGCAAGTTTATAGAACGTTGATGTCTACTGAATATTTTATCTTATTGGAGAGGAAATATACGAAAGTCAACCGTGTAAAACATAACCGTTGAACATAATATTCAAATTATTACCTATACAGTTAAGATGTCTAGAACATTTTGCCAAATAAACGAATAAATATTTTACGCATTTACACAGTCATCGTTATAAAAAACTGTAAGCTTTGTCATTTAAATTATACAAATGAACGTTAAAAACCGATTTCTTCAGGTCAAAGAAGGATTCTGTAGGAGTTTGTCTCATAAAGCGAGTGGAGTGCAATCGTTTAGAGCTAGGTGCAAAGGTAACTCTGGTACAAAGGCATTCTCGACTTTGATTACCGTATGAAAGCGTTCCTCTAGCATAATACTCTTGTTTATTAGTCTTCTACTTACGCCAGTGAAGTAAAGATCAAAAGAAGTGACTTTTATCAACGTTTAACTTACTACTTTAAAAGTGTATCGTTCTTATAGATCAGCTGAAGGCATATTAAGATATTTAGACCGATGATGCTTGAGTGCGATGGTATCTTGTAATTATTTATAGGTTAGTTTACAAACTTTACAACTAATTATATCTAATTGTAAATTGTGTATGTATACGATACTGGTGGTCGTCTGGAATGTTTACTAAGGTTAAGAGCACACGGAAAATATCTCAATAGAATAAAAGATAATACTTTTTTGACGTCAATGCACCCAGGTGTTACCAAACATGAAATACAAAAAAAGTACTTCAAAATCTACAATAGGATGAGAAGTATATATTTTCAGTTTCTTTAGTCAATGCTTAAAAAGGTAGGTGCGAAATCATATCCTGTTATGAGACTATACAACATTTCAAGAAAAATGTCTAACTTACCTCTTGACTAATTTAAACTCAATATTAAAACACGTTATTTTATTCAAATATATTTTATCGTAGGTTCACATATTTTTTAAGTGTCAAAATATCAGTTAGGCCTTGAAAATATCTCCCAAGTGTGCGATTTATTTGATTCAAACCACAACAAATTAAACAATAAAGTTAACTTTTGACGGGTTTGTGTCATGACAATCAACACTAGTTTAACACGACGTTTATATCTTACCTGCTGCTCTGCTAATAAGTCACTTTGGTTCATACTAAACCCCATCTTCTGACACATGAATAATGTATGTAGTGTGTGAAGAGGGAGTAGGGGGGGGGGGGAGAAAAGTCGCGAGTGTTTTATGTAAATCTCCAACACAAGCTTTCAGAGATCCAAAGTTTGCCGATTTCTACAAAGCGACGTCTAAGGATAATCCGTGCCACTAATGTATCTTGTAACTTTCTGACTACGTGTAAATACTTGATGCTGGTCTTAAACGCAAAGCTTAACAGGTGATTTCACTCCATCCTACACTCACCCTGTCTAGTCACATGCACCCAAGTATGTGAGAACGCCGTAAAGAAGTTGCAATGTTTGCAACAAGAATAACATATTTGTTCACTGTTACCACGTGTGTACAAGTTACGTAAATGGTTTTGTATCTGTGAAATAAAGTATTTTTGAATTAGTGGGAAACATTTATAAGCCGATGTTTTCATATCGCCATAGGATCATTCAAGTTTTAATCAATTTTAGGACTACATTTTAATGATTTTTCCAATCAAAAAGTAAAGAACTTGTATGAAGTGGGGTTTCAAGTTTTTCATTGGTTTTTCATAAGTTAAAAGAATACTGGGTCATCATGTTACTTAAAGGAGTCATAGTGTTTCCTAGGAACGCTTACGCCGTTCATTCAGTAGCTTCCACAATAAGTTCAAGATTAATTCTTTAAATTCTAATTTACCAACTACTTCAGCCCATCAATCACACACCTTCAAGCTACCAAGCCAACAAACCCACAACAACCAAATATGACCCCGCCAATCGAAAACCAACAATAGGCCAACGAAACCACTATATCCACTGCTAGCAGGTCACTAACTGTTGTACACAATTTCGTTACAATGCAGAACTTGCAATGTTTCTAGCCTATCCAAAGCTGGACATAACCCAAGTCCAAGAACAGCTCCAGTGTGACCTTACGATTTGCACTCCTACTCCTTGATAGTACCTAAAACATAGATCGAAAATCACTTTTTTATTGACAACCATCAATCATTTTTTGACTATTGACAATCATCATCTACTAACATGCCCAATACTTGCTGTGTTACAGAGTTGCAGCGACGTAGACACGAGAGAGCCTGACGAAGGCGGAGGTGTGGGGTGTGTGTGGGAGTGGTGTGTCCAGGCATCGCGATGCTCCTTGGCTAGAAACGACGCCTCCTTGGTGGCAGCCGAGGACCACGATGCTCATATTAGCGAGCTTAACGATCAAGTAAGTGGGATTCATATAATTCCTCAGCTAGTATAGATGTAGCCTACTCGTATTAAGGGAACTTTTCACTGTGCAGTGTGCATGTCGTGGGCTCTGAATCTGATACCTGCCACTATTTCATCTACACTGTTTAGTACGGAATCAGCTCACACCTTGCTTTGCTGGTTATTTCCAATAGTCAAAGGTTCCACGCACAGACTATGCACACATTTGGACAGGCAAATGCTAGGTAAATCGAAGCCTCTTAAAAAACAATACAAATAAAATTTGAGTATTCCAATTAATTTATATATTGCGGCTTATTTGAACGTGAATCACTTTTCGCTATAGGTTTACGTGTGATGTTAAAAAGTTCGACCTCACAGTGTTATCTTAACACTTTGGTGATAGTTTGCAGAGGACAAGGAATAGTTTACATACATGGTGTCCTACTCATTTCCAATAAGAGATCAACGATAATGCCAAACTACATAGATTAATATCATAATACGAGCTCTGGTAATCTAAAATTATTATTAATTTAGTTACAGACATTTTTAGAACACGGATGCCTCCTTTGGTGAAGTAACCAAAGATAGTAAATTATCTAAATACAGTGAGTTCTAATTATTCACCTTAGATAGTTACACCAAAAGTCACACCAAACTTAGGGGAAAAACTAATAATTCAATAATAATTACGATGAACATAACTCTAAAATGACATCGAGCCATAAGGATATACATTTATCTAAAGGACTATGTTAATCCTTATAAATGAGTACGTCTAATCTAAGATATAAGTCACCTGTTTTGATCTTAACCTCATTGTGTAGACTGTGTAGATGAAGTCTAATAAACTGAGTACTAAGCTAGAGTAGCGCTTTCATTCTGTTATCAAAGTCAAGAAAGCCTTTGCACAAGATATATCTTTGCCCCTAAGACGAAATAATTGCCCTTTACTCGTTTTATGAGATGAAACCTATCTAATCTTTAGCATCACGAGATTATGCATCGACGCAAATTTCCTCACTCAATCATTATCAAACATTCATTATCGAAGATCAATAATCGTTTTAACTTACTCACGTATAAATTTGTAATTATAATAGATCAGGTAAAGACAATAAGTGTAATTTATGATTATGTCAAATGTTTTTATAGTTTTGTATAATAGTTACTATTTAGTAACAGTTTATTTATTTTTTTAGTTAAAAAATGTAACACTTTCAATGCAAATGTAAACTTGATTAATTACTACACTAGCCAATTCTGACGAAATTAGACGAAAAACACACGAAACTATGTTTCAAATTTTACATTTGGATAAGAAGTCTACTGACAGTACCCAAAGTGGGATTCATGTTTTGCCATGAAATCATTTTTAATTGTTCGAATTTTACGTTTAAGTATTCACTAATGAATTGACGAACATCTTAAACTATTAAAAAGCTAATTAAATAGTAAGGGAAAAGAAAAAATTATCAAAATCTCATCCCATAAAGAAAATACCTTTAATTTACTTTTACCTCGAAATAAGTGCTGAGCCTATTTGAATTAAAACCCTCTTAGTTTTAGAAAATCCTATTAAATCAAACTATTTTACAGCACCTTTATAAATACCCCCGCTGCAGCAAACCTGCAGACTAAGTGAATTTCATCTTGTCTGATTACATATTTACTAAAATATTTCCATAAATAAGACATATTTATTCCCAATTTAAATTACATTAGATTTAACGAGTGCTTAGGTTTGCTGTTACAGGGAAGGTAAACAGTGTTTTTGACCAAACGTCAATTAATAGTATAGGATGAAATAAATAAATTTGCCAAATTTGATCAACATATATCCATAAACAAGTAAACAACAACAGTTTTCATTTTCTCCATAAGAATAACATAAAAAATTTTAATTTGCATTTTTTTCTCCGTAACTATTAGGCTTACAATGATGCTTCAATGTATGGAATTATTTCTTTTTTTAAGCTCTACAAAATGGTTGGGAAAAAATTCCAAAATTTTATGTTTTTAGGGTCAAAAACGGGAAAACCCCATAAACCCCCGTTGCCATGGTCCGATCATGATGGTTCGCGAACGCGTTCGAATAAATGTATGTTTACATGTTTATACCAAATTTCATCAAAATCGAATGATTTTTGTTTGAGTTATCGTGCTAACGGACACACACACACACATATATATATATATACTTTGTCAGCAACAAAAAATAAGGTAGAAAATATTATTTAAAACACGCATTTGGTAACTGGCTCACACAACTAAACATTTTAAAATAAAAAATGGCGAAAGCTGGCTCATATAGATGAGATGTCTACTTCAGTATTCAATAGTCATTACGTGTACATTACATGTTTGTGGTCGAGTTTTCGACCACTGGACGACCACTAGTATATATAAATGTATAAATACATATATATTTATATGAATTTGAACGGATGGTGTTTTTGGCTTCTGGGGACCTCAAAACGAAAAAGTAAATCGGTCCCGGGTTCAGGTCTTACCATGAGACCTACGGTAATAGCTTATTTCCTATAAGGGAAATTCGCTAATATAAAAATCATGTAACACAATATAAGGTACCCTAAAAAGGTGTCAACCCTATTTTTAAATCAGCCAAAGCTTGGATACAAACAGAATGTTGTTTTGAATGCTTCATGTTGTCAAAGCTGTTGAAGTGGGTGGAATGGGTTGCGAAGGGCAAATACTTTTATGCTCCATCCCTAAGTTGGCTCAGGTGTTAAACGGGCTGATGGATTTTCCATTACCGAACAAACCTTTCAATTTAGGCGTTTAATATAAAAGCATTTTATAACAATAAATTTTCTATGTCGAACAGTTTCCCACTCTATTTGAAATTAATAATGTATATATTTCTTTATTGGTACTAAAAACATCTACTCGGCTTAAATAACCACAGAATGTATATTCATATTTTTACTAAATTCAGTTTTATTTTACACGCAAAAGTAAAATTTATTTCGTTTTCATAAATCTACACCTAAAATATGTAATCGATTTACCTAACCACATGTTTACATAATTTCAATTTATCACTCATTAAATTTAGTTTTTCATCTGGTAAAAGCATTCAAATGTAACGTTTATAAAAACTAAGCAAAGCGATTTTATTTCTTAGTCATTTATAGGCACGAATTGCACGTGTCGTATTTGTAACTAGTTTCATAGACAAGCAAACTATACTAGGTACTCTATTCTGTAGTACAGTAATCAGTTCAGCTACCTTTATGCTATTATATCTTAAACGCATTACTGTACTATGGAGTTATAGCAGTATATATCATAGGAGATGGAACCTGTAGAACAACATCCTCTTTACAATAATAAGTGACAAATCTTATATTGGCACACAAATCAGTACAATAATGTGGTACAGTTAACATTGGGTAACATTTATTGTACACAAACTAGATGGAGGCTACTGCAGATTATTTGATGACTATTTCATCAGGTTTTATACACTCTCTAATTCTATATCGGAGGATGCTTAAAAACTGTAAAACATAATTAAATACAGTAGTTTGATCATTTTAACTGCTTTTAATTTAGAAACAAATATTAATTAAAAATAGTGTTTTATGTGTAGTTGACAGAAAACTGTCTGCCGCTGTAGGCCTACTACAGTAAGAATTACAAAATCTATGAGTAATCTTGATCTATTGAAGCACTGTGGCAAGGGTAGGATGATTAATGAGAAATTAAATGTTTAATCAATTCTTTTTGAAGAAGGCTGGTATCTCGTTATCTGTAACCTGGACACCAATCATTCAGAAGATTATTTAAGGATTTCTAAATTAATTACTGAATTCCTAATTGCAACCGAGGTCTTTATTTAACTCGCCGATTCCCTTTATTCTATTTTAGCAAATCTCTATAGAAAGTATGATAAACGACATTAGGTAGTCATGGATCCTTAGATTGTAATAATATATGATACAATACTGATTTAAAATTAGATTCATAAATTATTTAAATCTACATTTAATCTAATGTAACTTTTTTTCTGACAAAAAGTATTTAAAATAAATTCTTTAAACAAATTTTTATTTAATGATTTTACCTAATACAGGAATATTTAGATGCAAACTAGTTGAATTATTGCTCTCTATGTCTAACTCAAGGCTAGAATTATGTAAAATGTCTCTCAGGATACTAAACTTTTCCTTCAGAGTGGAGCTTTTTCAGAACAAAGGCTCATCAACTTTTGTTTCCTGGTAATTGTAAATGAAAATATTTTAATCTCCCTGAAATGAATTTTAGAAAAGCTTTAATTTAACTTTCCACAAGCAGTAGTTGAATCTTTATATTAAAATGTTTGTGTGATTATGACTATTACATAAATGCATTATTTTAAAATCAAAGTAGTCTTTATTTAAATTTTAAGATAAAAAATATGGTTTAATATTTCATTAAAATATTTTTAATTTTGTACATATTTTGAAACTATTACAAAAATGTAGACAAACGTAGCTTGATTTAATAGAACAAATTCTGTTACTTCGAAGGTCGTTGGAACAAACATTTATTTTGAACAGATAACAAATCAAACATAATCAATATAAAAAGATCGGCCATATACATCTTTGTTTGCAATCATCTTTGGCTGAGTGTTTGTTTTGAACGGCAAACGAAACAAGAACACAAACAGACTATTCCCGCTAGTGCAAACAAACGAGAACAATAGTTAATTCAACAGTTGTTTGTAACATAAAAAGTTTCCCAACTTTACTATATTTCTACAGTATTCCCATAGGCATGTTGATACAATGTATTTTACTATATTAGTTTGTGTGTTGTTAGTAACTAATTTGGTTGGATTGATTGTTGAAGATTATTTATGAAATGTTAACTTTACATTGGATGGGTTTATATTTTAAAGAAGCCTATTTAGTGCGTGATAATAAAGACATTGCTCTTAAATAAGAAAGACAATGTATTTTTAGTTTAAAAGTATCAATTAATACATTTGACAATTAAATTTTA